ATTCAGGCCCATCCTCAGGGGAGGGGGAGGACTCCTCATTCACATCTTCGTCAAATTTCTAATCGTAATCCTTTTTATTATTGTGCGTATTTGCTAAAATAAAATGACGCGATTTTCGTGTGATTTTAAAATTTTCAGTCAGATATTTTTCATTTAATTTTTCATGACTAAAATGAAGATTTAACGAGAGCTTGAACCACTTGACCAATAAAGCAAAAAAAGGACTCACAAAAAAACAATACATCTACATATGCCACTCTTTTACTTTGTTCTTACAATTCTCATTATTACTAACGCATATTATTATTTCTCAAACATAATTATTTGTAGACATTGACATTTAGCAAATGTTATATTATTACACTACCAAATTATTTTGAGTGACAGGCAGACAGAGTACAAACATATTGCAACATCTATCAAAATGCAAGACATTTTAAACTTATTTAACTTGCGGTTATAGTTTAAATTCACTTGAGTGACTAGGCACTTACTCGATTGTCTGTGTGCATCTAAAGTTCATATAAGTGACATTGCACACTTAACTTAAAAATACGCCTGTTCTTTATTTAAAGCAATAAGTCTAAATGTGTAAAAAATTATGTGCTAACGCCATATTGTAAACTTAAACTGAGAAAAGGACCTTGTTTTTAATATTAAAAATCTATTTAGTACGGTAATTAGATATTTGTATTATTTATTTTGCCGTTTTATTATCGGATAGGTCGGCAAACGAGCAGGATTACCTGATGGTAAGCAATCGGCGCCGCCCATAGACACCCGTAACACCAAAGGAGTTTTTTTTTTCTCTTTATTAGATTTTGGGGGTTTGTTCATATTAACGAACATGTCACCCACCAAAGGAGTTACGTGTGCATTGCTGAACTTTTGGGGATTAGGGATTTGGAGATTTAGGTATCGGGGGAGAGGTAGTATTGGACCTCCGGCAACCTCACTCACACGGCCAAACACAACGCTGATCGGTTTTCTGGGAGGCAGTGGTGTCACCCCGGTCGAGTCGACCCATTCGTGCCGAAGCACGGCTCTCCCACGCTTATTTCATGACTTTTCATCCACAAACAAGTGCCAAAAAACCTTTATCCTATTCCAAATGGTTATAAATAGAAGGTTCAACGTACGGACAGAAAATAAGTCACTACTTTATCAAGATGTGACATTAAAATAAAATTGTAAGGATTGCTGACGTACGTCGCTCTCGCGCACAAGGGTCAATTTAACTACAGATTCAGATAATAATAGTAATTTTACTAGAAACACGCAGTAAGGCCACGTGGGTGTTTATAGGGTTAATGGTTTACTTAGGTCACGTGTAGTAAAAATAATACATGTGTTTTTTTCATGTGATGGTAAGCAATCTGCGCCGCTCAAGGACACCAGACGGATTACCGGTAAGCATCAGCGCCGACCGTCCAACAATGGAGAAGTAGGTAACGAGTGCGTTGCCAACCTTTTGGGGGTTTAAGGTTTTGGAGATTGAGGGATTTCGGCATGTGGTAGGACGGCAAACGTTCTTAAGCAATCAGCGCCAACAATGGAGGAGTAACGAATGCGTGGCTGACCTTTTGGAGATTAAGGTTTTAAAGATTTAGGCATTGGGGAGGGGTTAGAGGAGGGGAAGATTTGGCCAGCGGTGACCTCACTCACACTTTTCTCTGAAGTCATTGATACTTCGGTCGAGTCGTCCTGTTCGCGCCGAAGTATGGCTCTCGTGCGTGTCGCGCGGGTTCGATTCCCGCACAGAACAACTCTATGCATCATCTTCCTGTCCTTGTCCCGTTTTACTTGGGGTCGGCGCAATATATTTTTTTCTTCCATTCTGTCCTGTCACTCGTCACGCTATCGCTAACTCCTCTGTCTTCCATATCACTTCTAACACAATCCATCCATATTTTCTTTGGTCTCCCCCTCCCTCTCCATCCATCCACATTTATACTCATGACTTTTTTTGTTACATGCTTTTCATCCCTCCTTTTCACATGGCCATACCAAGACAAACGGTTCCCTTTCAACTTTTCAGTCACTGGCGCCACTTTCAAACTTCCTCTAATATACTCATTTCTCACTTTATCCATTCTCGTCACACCATACATCCATCTCAGCATTCTCATCTCTGCTACATGCAATCACTTTTCATCCGTCTTTTTCAGAGCCCAACATTCTGACCCATACAGTAGGACAGGCCTTATCAGGAGTAGGACAGAACAACTCTATGCGAGATCCTCAAATTGTTGTTTCAGATCTGGATTACATGTGAAATTATATGTTTGTACAAGCACCCACGACATAGGAAAAAATCATAGTGCAGGATATGTTTTTTTGAAAAAAAAACATCTTAATTTTTCATCAAATATTATACCGTCAAAAAGCATACATATTTCTTTTGAAATAACAATAACAATACGAATCTAATATAAAGAATATCGTAAACTTAATGAATGCAAGTGCGATAATTTTTAGGTATTTTTTGGCTTTATACGTTGACATAATATCTCTTTTGACAGAGGAACTAGCCAATTATCTCTTTTCTGACTTACATAATGATGATTATAAATTGCATCAAGCTACAATTAGTTAACTAAACAAGAGGCTCGACTGATCCAAAAGTTTAGCACAGTCATGGATCGTCACGAGTCTGACGTCATAATATACTCACCAACTTATCACTGTATTTATAAGCACCTCTACAAAATATATAAAATGACACGATTTTATATATTTTGTAGAGGTGCACACCATTTAGCATGATAACAATAACGAGTTATTTGCACTTCACTTATATAGTCGATTGTGATAACTAACTGAGCGAATTGGATTAAGAACTATATGAAAAACTGCAAGTCATAAAGGTTGTTTGAGAAGAAACTTTCTTCATCTATGGAAGTGTGGGAGATCCATGCTTCTGGAGTGATACCATGGTCTCACTGAAAATCACCGTGAAACAGCCAAAGCGTTGTGTTTCTCCATGTATGAATAATCCCTCGGCAAATCTCTAATCTCCAGAAGGTCGGCAACGCATTCGTAACTCCTTTGTTGTTGCGGGTGTTCTTTGGTGGCCGATTGCTTACCACCAGGTATTAAGTCTGCTCGTTTGCCGTCCTGTCAAACAAAAGACGCCACTAATACTTCAAGAAGATCTTCACCTTGAAGTATAAGTGGCGTCTTTTATAAAAGAGTATTGTGCTCCTGAAGCACAATATATTAGTTAAGAGTTATTTAATTCGATAACTCTGAAGTTATCGAATTAAATTATCACGGATTTATAATTTTGTGATGGATGATACTTCAAAATATCTATTTTTAAGAAAATTAATACCTAACATGAAAAGCATAATACTGTATAGTATATTTTTCGAGACACGCATAGAATATGTATATTGATATCTCTAAAAAAATCTTGGTTTAATTATATAGAAGAGAAAATGTTATCTACTATCTAAATATTAGATTAACGAAGTCTGTCTTTTTTCTCGCTTGTCTCGATTCTCGATTAAGTTGGAGTTGATTCTTAATCTTGCCAGATTGAATATAAGTCTTCTTCTAACATCTTGCATGGATCCACTATATTAATGAGTTGAGTAATTATTTAACTTTGCTTATTAACCCTACTGTATTTGTACAACTACGTTATTAAATATAGTCCTAAATTAGGATTAAAAAATCTAGATTTTTGGCAGAATATCAATAGAACTCAACAATATTATGTTCTCATTTTTCTTTTTTATGTGATACGGCGGCCAACGACCTTACGGTAGAAATGTCAAGCAATCCGTGCCACCCATGGATACCCAGGTTTTGCAAGTGCGGTGCTGGCCTTTTGGGGATTCAGGGCTTAGGGAGGGATAGGAGGGGGAAGGATTCGAGTTGCGACGAATGCTTCGGCGATACCCACCCCTACGACACATGGGTAAGTGGAGGAACACCGGGTTGGTTTTTAGTCAGTAAGAGTCTGACAGTACCCTTCGCCCTTCCCCGAGGGCGAAGGGTCTCCATGAGGATTTTCCACCCCGATACAAAAAAAGTAACCTCACTCACACGGCGAAACACAACGACATGGTTGTTTCACGCCGGTTTTCTGTGAGGCCTTTTTTTGTGAGGGGAAAATCATCAAATGACTTCTAGCGCCCAGTTTTAGTCCCAGTTTTTAGTCAGTAAGAGTCTGACACTCCTGTTCCTTCTCCTGCTCTGGGCCGAGGTCGCGGTGTCTCATTGCGCTTACCCCGCAACCCCGGCAGGCCTTTGAGGATATCACTCCGGTCAAATAGTAATATGTATTTTATTGGTACGCCTATCCGTGCTGGATATCGATTGTTTATTTTGGCAGTATAAGAATAGAAGATACTAACATACAACCAACTAAGCATGATGGCGCAGACTGGTACCGAATGGCAATGCGTAGGAAACGCAAAAAATCTAAATTTCTTATTGTCACGTTAGCTTCGTCCTAAGTTTGATCAGAGAAACTTCCGAAACTGAATGAAAGGTTTTCAGCATTAAGTCCGCCAGTGTGCAATAATTGTGCAAAAAGTAATAAATAAAAAAAAATGTAATATAATAAATATTTACAACGTCGGAATAGTCACCATTTTTGTACTTATTATGTGGCACATAAGTTTTTTTTTATTTTAAGATTAGAACCTGGCAAGCTCCATTTTGATTTTTTTCCGAGTTGTATGTACTTTCTATGACCATTTAGTCACCTCTGACATACGGCGGAGGAAAACATTGAGAGGAAACCTAGACTTATAATTTGTAATTATAAGTTTGAAATCGCCAATCCTCCTTAAGCAAGCGTGGTAGTTGATGCTCAAACCGCTAATGCTCAAACATTCTCCGTGTGAAAAAAAAGTCTTTGTTCAGCAGTGGGCACTTATGGTCTGATGATGTGAAGAAGTACTTGTTGACTCCATAGATTGTCACATAAGACCACCAAGAGCCCACCATGACCTAACTATTCTAAAAACACTAATATGCTGACATACCTATCCAAGATTCATGTTCCGGGGTGAGCCGCAGCGCTGACCCTGGCTCCCTGAGCTGCTGCAGCAACACTCCTGGGAAGGCGATGTTAGCTCCTGTCCCGATCATGTACATCACAACTCCACTTACTGCAAGTAGCTGAAAGATAAAGGTGGTGTTAATGTGGTAATAAAGACATATACACCTTGTTGCGTTTTTTATAGCTGGAATATATAAATTTTTTTTTTAATTCGATATTTTCCTTTTTTAGGGGTCCGCAGTAAACTAGGAAACCGTCTGTCTGTCTGTCTGTCTGTCTTATGGTTTCGTATATGGTACTGTTGATCTATTTTTGAAGCAAAGTACCTACGATTTAAGTAAATTAATGTAGGCACATATCAGTTTATGGTAAAATTAAAAAAAAATAAAACGAAATGAAGTAACTGTGCCTACGACGAGCACGCGAAAATGAGGCACTCTCGAAATTAGAGATTGCATACGTCAAACAGATGACTTGGAACGACCACTCTGTTATAGCCTGTTATGGCTTTTGACTTTTACTAACATTATCATTCATGCTATTTAATAAACTTAAACTTACAATTATAATTATTTATACCCAGGAACCGACCGGTACCCAGGAGAGGTGAATTCTCCTATTCTAGGCCCGGGACAGCGGTACCTTATTGCGCTCGCCCCACAATTCCAGCTGAACATAGGCCCTGTAGGTCCCCGAGGCCCCCCGCCTGTGGTGGTCTATTGGCCCTCAAAGATGTGCGCGGAACATTACGAGTAACCTCGGGCGCGCTACCCTAGCTCGCTGTCCGCAAACTCGCACTTTTTTACTTTTTGTTACAAAAACGTCGTGGTGCGGTTACAAACATACAATTTCACGTACACATAACGCCCAGATCCGGAACAACAATTTGTAAATTATACAAAGGGTTGTTCCGTGCGGGAACCGAACCCATGACACGTTACACGGCAGCCAGTTGAACAGCCACCGCACCAACCGTGCAGTCAAAGCGCGCTTACAGTTACAGTGGGTGGACATCGTTGTTCGATCCCGACGCCCGAGGTGTGTGAAGCTTGTGTATTCGGAAAGCCCCTGCGTGCGAAAGTTAAGAACGCCATGGCGTCTCTCAAGCCACTCCTCAAAGAGGTGCCGAGGCGAGTGCTCGGCTCTCGGTTGCGACAGACGTGTCTTCCACTGTCCACTCTGACAATTTACATAGTACTTATTGTATTGTTATTTTATTCATAAAACGTGTCTGTTGCCGTATCAATAAAATATATCTAACGAAGCTTAATGAATGCTCATAAAAAAATCAATTCATTTTTTTTGTGCACAGTCAATATAACTAACTAACTACAGAATTGAGACGATGCAGGTTTTTGACCAAATTTCGAGGTTGGTCATTGACCTTGTGTCGTTTTAAACACCTCTATATTTTATACTAGCTTTTGCCCGCGACTTCGTTCGCGTGGACTTCAGGTTCGTCCCGTCTAGTCTAGTAATAAGTAAGAAATACGGTAACTAAGCACTGAAGAGCCCTAATCATAGGTCTATAGGTAGCTACTGCAGTATGCTCCTATAAACTACATTTAACGATCTTTTTCCTTGAGCATAAACATGCAGATTCTTCGCTTTGGAAACGTAAGCGCAAAAAATGTGTTTTTTATGACCTCACATTAGAAACCTCAAAAATTGTAGCCTATGTGTTATTCTGATGTATAAGCTATATTGTGGTAAAGTTTCATTCAAATCCATTCAGTAGTTTTTACGTGAAAGAGTAACAAACATCCATACATCCATACTTACAAACTTTCGCCTTTATAATAGTAGTAGGATTGAGTATTTGAATATATTTTATTTTATAAGAATCATTTAATGCTGAACTGCTTTATCTACAGACTCAGTCTGGAACTGTTGACTTATTGAAACGTTTTGTACGACTCGGATTTCGGAACAGAAAAAAGTCTGAGGCTACTTTCGAGGAAATGAATGAGACTTAGAACAAGTTTTTCTTTTGATTGACGCGTGAAACTATTTCGTTTTTTATGGTGCCATTAAGCAATCGGAGCCGCCCGTGGACATCCATAACATCAGAAGAGTTATGAGTGCGTAGTCAGCCTGAGGATTAGAGTTTTGAACATTTAGGGATGGGGAAAGATGGAAGGGGAAGTCTTGAGACCGGTAACCTCGTTCGCACGGAGAAACATAACACTATGGTTGTCTTACGGCAGTTTTCTGTGAGGCCGTGGTGGTATCATACCGGACAAGCCGACCAATTCGTGCCAAGGCATATCTCTCTCACATTTGGTTACATAACAACGTTTTAGATTACGCAATATTTTAAAAAAACAAATCACAGCACCATCAGAAAGTGAAGGTCATACCTACTTATATATAATATATTATACATAATTATGTCTGTCTGTTGTAGCTTTAGTTTAACTAAAATGTGGCTAACCGAAGAGAACCGAACCTGTTTACCTGCAGAGGTGACCCGCCGTGCATTCAGACTATAATGTCACATTACGAATAAATAAGATTAAGATAAGACGACACACGACTAGCCAGACAGTAATCGAAATCTAGATTACATTGATGTATTTTTTTGTTATTTAAAAAAAACATCACCCCACTTTAGGATTTTGTCCTACTATATATCGTGAGTGCGTTTACAGACACAATTTCACATACATGTGTGCGGGAATTGAACCCGCGAGGTGTTGCACGACAGTCAAATGTTTTTAGATTTAGCAAAACGTTTTTGTTTTTCTTCGAATTATCTGGAGTGGGATAAATGAGCAGAAGAGAGAAGTGTCAAAAGAGCGAAAATGGTGGTATTTCTTGTTCGAATAGAATGTGTGAATCATAATTATCTTTATTTATGATAATAATTATTTGCTCACTACTACATTAAGTCTAGTACTGAATACTTACTTATTTTAATTGTAACATTTGTTTATTGTAATGTGAAATTAGCGCTGCCCATGGACAGTCGCAACAACAGAGGAGTTACGAGTGCGTTGCCGACCTTTTTTTTCTCTATGCTTCTTTTAATCTGTTGACCTTTGAAAACTAAACACTTTAAAATATAACCATATTCGCTGTGTGCGCGATGACAGCGCCCTTAGTGGCCGCAACTATTCAGGACTTGTCATATTGATTTTCGACTAGTTTTTCAACGAAATTGAAAAAAATAGTGTAAGAAGTGAGTGTGTATATTATACCTAGCGATTTTCATCCTCGTGAAAAATATGGATATTATAATACGTACGGGATTTGAATTTTAATTATCTTCACAGCAGCTATCCATTTTTGTCTTTGCTGTAATATCCACTTTGATGTTGAAAACGAATAAAACTTGCATGAACTGTTTTTCCCATTGTTTTTACAGTTTACGACACAGCATGTACTATGACCCATATCGCAAATGTTTACGTTATTGCTTAAAATTATAAAGAAAGTTATGAAAATAAAGCAGTTTGACACATGACAGTCCAGAATTAATTCACATTTCTGCCATGTCGTGCACCACGATCGATTTGCCGTTCCCCACCACCCACTTCGCACATAGCGAATACATCGAGGAAACAAAAGAAAAAAACATATAATTTACGAGCGTATTCTAAAATCATAAACATTAGTGCACGTCACTGACCTTAAGTCTCTTTCGTCTCTATAAAAAAATATTTTTCAATAAAAACAGTCCACAAACCTGTCTCAAGAACGGAGACACCCTCCCATAGCTGCCTTCCGTCATGGTGGAACGTTCGATGGCGCTATTCTTCCAGAAACTCCAAGATAAGCTTCAATATTCAAGGTCCAGGTGTAAAGGTCATTGACATCTGTGAATAATAAAGAGGAAGGTTAAAATAAAACGCAGTTATGATCTTCTTCGTCATCATCATCATCTTCAGCCCTTGAGCTTCACAGTTGGAATATTCGCCCTCTTTAAGTAAGAGGATTTGCAGTTGCCTCAAATTGTGCTTATGGAAGAACTCTCTCTCATTTTATTCAAATCTTGGCAAAGTTTAACAAAAGCTCGGACTTTGTCAATTTTGTGGTATCTTACAAAAATATTAAAGTTATTTATTTTCTTTATTTAAAAAAAAAAACCGTTGCCGTTACTAGGATTTTCTCCTGTGTCGTGGGTGCGGGCACAAAGTCACAAACATTCAGTTTCACATACACATGACACCCAGACCTAGAACAACATGTTGTGGATCATACAAAGAGTTTCCGTGCGGGAATCAAACTCGCAACACGTTGCACGGCAGCCATTTTCTTTGCCACCGCGCCAACCGTGCAGTCGAAGTTATGGTTGTTGTGTACCTCTGTCCGATTGGAAAACAACTTCGAAAGGCTTGTAGGAGCGGTGTTCTATCCAATGTGATTACAGTACAGCGACAGAAATGTAGTCTATGTAATATGACATCCTTATTAGTTACCTATATTAATATTAAGTTTTCTACTTGTACAAATCTATAAACATGTCGTTAATATTAAATTTTGATGACTCAAGTTTTTTAAATAATTATAAGTAGGTATTATTAGCTATGAAATTCTAATTCTAAAGAAATGTTATCGTTTCTTATTTCAGTTTAATAATAGAATTGCTGAAAATTTTAAGGCTTCCTTTTCTAAAAGTTTCATTATTACTGAAATTTTCAGAATTTTAGATTTTGAATTAATAGATAATATCTTAGTAAACAAGAACGAAGTTGCAGAATAAACCTCGGCGCTCGATTCTGCAACTCTTAACTAGGTATGTTGCAAATATAACTGGTTTTCTATTCACTGGAGTGTCTAACTACAAGATTTATCTTAGCAACAAGTTCCTTGGGTATGTGAAAGTACAACTTACATTAATTTCAAATAGTAAGATAGACTGTTTGATCTGTTTATTTAGAAAATCATCAAATTAATAAAATTGTTTCAGAGTGATTGTCAAAGTTTTAATTACTAATTAAAATTTAAAAAAAACCCCGACAAAAATCTAATATTCCTTTAAAAAGTAATAATTAAAAGTAAAACGTGGCGTTGGGGGACCGATCCAAACATTTTATTATCAACTACATATTTCTATTTTGTCGGGGGTCTAATTATTTATTTTATTTTATACTATTTATGGCTATTTTATATCATTTTCTCTCGATTAAGTCATCAGCATTCCCTTTCAGTGCGCTTTCATTTGAGACGGAAGTTGGAAGTGGTCCACTAGCCAGTGCAGATGGAAACCACTAATGGTTCTGGCAATCAGACACGATCCCTAGCTTGACCACTTTACCTGTGATGCTGTCAACGCAAGGGCTAGGCTTTTTATATGACGCCCAACAAGATGATGGTAAGCAATTGGCAACCTGTATGACGATGGGGAGTTGCTAGTGTGCAAGGTTTAGGTATTTGAAGATTGAGGGGTTTAGGTGTCTATTGGGAAATAGAGAGAGGATAGGGCCTATGGTAAGCTCATTCAAAGCATATAGTGCAATACAACCTTTTTACTATAATCGGCTGGTTAGTCGAGCAGGCCGACTCACCCCACTCTATATAGTCTAGAAAAGGAGGAGGGCAGATTATGTATTATAAAAATCTAACAGAATGGCATTTCCGCCTACTATTTACTATTGTAGTAAATGTATAAGTACATACATTTTTTAATATAATAGGTCGGCAAACGAGAAGACCTATTACTTGATGGTAAGCAATCAGCGCCGCCCATGGACACCCGCAACGGAGGAGTTACGAGTGCGTTGCCAACCTTTTAGGGATTAGGATTTGGATATTAAGGGATTGGGGAGGGATCGCGGGTGAGGAAAGATTGGGCCTCCGGTAACCACACTTGCACGATGAGACACAACGTAAGTGTTTTTTACGCCAGTTTTATGTTAAGCCGTGGTATCACTCCCGTCAACCCGGCCCATTCGATACGAACTATCTATATTATAATCACCAAAAGGCCAGCAAAGCACTCGCAATTCCTCCGTCGTTGCGGGTGTCCATTTGCGGCGCTGATTGCTTAGCATCAGGTAGCCCGTCGACTGGTTTGCCGTCATATCACATAAAAAAACTTTGACACTACGTGCGACAGAAACTAGGTGTAATAATAAGTTAAACAAATTCACACTATCCTTAAACCAAATGTAGCTACGTAAATAATTATGTAAACCGAAGCCATTGTGTTTTTACAAATACTTTCTCTCACTTTCCCTGTCGCATGCTCTTTACATAATACATTATGACAGCTCTCACAAACATGTTACGGATGAGGACTACTGTTTTTCTGCACACCAGGTGGTGTTGATGTAGCGTGGATGCCGTGATGACTTTTTGTAAAGAATTTCACCAAAATAGGACTTCATCATCATCAGCCTATAAGTGCTCACTACTAAGCGAAGGCCTTTTCCCACAAAGAGTCTCATTGTGAGAATATGCCTTTGCTCATTAGTGCTATGGTAAGCAATCACTGCCGCCCATGGACAACCGCAACAATAGAACAGTTGCGAATGCGTTGCGGACATTTTAGGGATTTAGGGATTGGGGGAGGGGAAGTATTGGAACGAAGCAGGGCTCTTTTGAAGATGTGATTCTCCCACACTGATATGAGAAATAATTACTTGATTGACTATTTAAGAAAATACGTGTTCTTAATTTCTTTGTACATCAAATAGGATTAGTAAAACGGATCCAAATTCCGAAGCATTAGGAATTTTGCGGTCCCACAGCAAGGGACCAAGAAATTTTATTATCCCTTCTGACCCTAAAGGTACTATTAGAAAATTCCTTGTTAACCAGGGATCACATTTTATTCCTTACTTAAAAGACATATACCTAAATTGTACCTACAACAATTATAGATACATGCGAAATTTTAAAGATTTGATCTGGATAATCTACAAAACAAGTGCTTTCTTTTATATGGTTTCGTACCCAAATGGGGGACCGTATTACTAAATTTAAGTTTAAAAAAAACATTGCGCTGCCATAGGTTTTTCTCCTGTGTAGTACGTGCGTTTACAAACATACAATTACACATAGGTACACATCACACCCAGAACAGGGGTGTGATTCTGTAAGACTTCATTCTAAACTTCGAATCTGAATCCACTGTGAGTGGTAGTACACTAGCGCTACACTTGCGAGTTGAACTAAATTGACAGCAACATCTTGATAGATTAAGTATGAGATGACGTTAAAAGTGGCATTCTAAAATTTAATTACCCCGTCACTTCGACACTCACTTTGCACTCGAACAAGATTCAAAATCAAACAAATTTTATAGAATCGACGTGCTGGAACAAATATTTGTGGATCACACAAAGTGTTGCCCCTGTTGGAATCTAACTTATGACACGTTGAGCGGCAACCAGTTGCCCAGCCACCGCGCCAACCCTGCGTTCCAGCAGTCTGCAATATGATAATAATCTTTAATTCAAAACTTTGAACTTTAATAATAAACTAGTTTCTGCCAACGGCTCCACCCGCAGTACCGGGTTAAAAAGTAGCCTATATCACTCTAACCTATCACTGAGCCAAATTTCAATCAAATCCATTCAGTAGTTTCTAAAAACTGTCGGTTCTATAATATAGGAATTTTGGTCGCTGTTATTTATTTACAGTAATATACATATAAAAGTATTTAATTAGTTCGTATGACCTTGTATTGTATTGCTAATGTATATAGGACTAGGTATTATGTAATGTATTAGTTACCTCCAAATTATAATTACGTACTTTCATTATGCGCTCAAGGTGATCTATCAATGTGGTTTGTACTTATGTATGAGAGTAAGAAATTGTACACTTCAGTCTAACGTAACCGTGTTTCGCCAAAGGTGGGGTAAGAGATAGTGTCAGACTCTTACTGACTAAAAACCACTCCGTTACTTCTCCTGCTCAGGGGCCTTGGTCAATTATTGCACTGACTCTGTCAATTATTGCTCTCACTGCAAATGTTGACGCGGTGGCTGGGCTACTGATGACTGAACAGCCAATGTTTATGATTCTTGATTAATAAGACGTTGATTGTGGCTTTTTTTTAAATATGATTATTGATATAGGTGTGGGAGAGCCATGCTTCGGCACGAATTGGTCAGCTCGACCGGAGCGATACCACGGCCTCACAGAAAACCGGCGTGAAACAACCACAGCGTTGTGTTTCGCCGTGTGAGTGAGGTTACCGGAGGCCCACTCCTTCCCCAATCCCTAAATCTCCAAATCCCTAATCACTAAAAGGTCGGCATCGCATTATTAACTCCTCCGTTGCGGGTGTCCATGGGCGGCGCTGATTGCTTACCATCAGGTTATCCGATGCAAACAAGCAGTCACATCACCTGATGGTAAGTGATCAGGGTCACCCATGGACACCTGCAACACCAGAATATTCACAGGTGCTCTGACTTTTAAGATGGAGTACGCTCTTTTTGTTTCTGTTTTATTAAATCTTTGGAACTAGAGGAATTCGATCCCTATAATCGATAAACACGTTTACCTAATGAGATTAGTCTTGTGTCTTAAAAAGAGAAAATTGCCGAAAACGTACTGGAAAAAACAGTCTTATCAGATATATTAACACATGTTTCCGTAGAGCACGTGGCTCCGTATCAGCAATAACAAAGATTTATACGTTTCTCTCTTGTTAGGTTGGTAGTAAGTTTTTTTAGTATCCATCCTACTAGGTATGGATTTCATGATTAATTTCTTTGATTTGCTCATTTGCTTCATTAGTCATTTACGTGTAGATAGTATCCAATGAAGGAGTTTCGAGACCCGATAATACATATATTATTAACGAGCTTTTGCCCGCGACTCCGTTCGTGTGGAAAAGCGACTTCCTGCAGATTTTTTC